GGAGGGAGGGAGGGAGGGAGGGAGGGAGGGAGGGGCCTGAAAGCTCAGTGTACTAAAGCATCGGTTAGGCAGGGTGCAGAGACTGGCCCAGCCCTGCCCCTGGGCACACTGAGGCAGCAATTGAGACTGGGCATGGTGACGCTTGCCTGTAATCCCAGCACTTGGGAGGCTGAAAACAGGAGAATCACTACAAGTCAAATCTACATAGTAAGACCCTGTAGACCCTGTCCTAAATAGAGGGAAAAAATGGAAGGAAGGAAGGAAGGAAACAGGAAAGAAAGAAGGCAGGCAGGCATGTTATGGTCCTAGTGGTATTTTTCACATTTACTTAAATGTGTGCTATTTTTTAAAATAAATAACTTCTTTATTTTTTTGTTGCCAGAAATCAAATTCAGGACCTTGCGCTTACCAAGCAGGTGCTTGTGCTATTAAGCTATATCCCCATCCCTTAAAAAATAACTTTATACAAGCACAAGGGCTTGAGTTCTATCCCTGGTTCCGCAAAAAAAAAAAAAAAGACTTCATAAGTGACCATTTGGGAGGAAGAAGATGGTTATCTGCATTAAAAGCTAAATGTTTTTTTAAGTAATAACCCTTAGTTACTGTCACAAAGTTTTTTTCCCAGTTAAAGGTCATATGTATATTTAGCTGAAGGGACTTAATGTGTCAGTGTGTCTTCATAAGCCTTGGGGAAATAATACAATTTGAAAGCATCTGAGGGGCTGGTGAGATGGCTCAGTGGTCTAAAGCACCTACTTCAAACAAGCTAAGCTAAGCAAAACACAGGGACCGCGGTTCTATCCCTCAGCATCACATACCAGCCAGCCCCGCCCCCTGGTGGGCTGAGCTGGCCACACACACACACACACACAATAAATAAATAAACATTAAAAAAAAAAAGAAAAGAAAAGAAAGTGTCTGAGAATGTCATATTAGCTGGGCTAGTGGTGCATACATGTAATCCTAGCACTCAGGAGGCAGTGGAGAAGGATCGCTGCAAGTTTAAGGTGAGCCTCGACTACATAGCGAGACCCTGTCTGAAAAACAAAAAACAAAAAACGAAACAATCTCAAGCAAATAACAGGGCTTTGTTTTGTTGGTGGTGGTTTGTTTGTTTGTTTGAGCTGTAGTAGACTTTTAGTCCACTTAACAGATGGACTTCAGATTGATTCTATAAGATTTATATTCAACATCATAGTTTTTGATCTTAACAGAATTTGAACTCAAATTCAGTTTAACTGAACTCAGCACCTTTGTTCTTGCTTTTGTCCCTAAATTATATTTCCATGTACCAGTGTGTGGGTATAGAGACATACAGAGTTTATTCAGGTAGCAGGTAATTAAGCCTGGTCAAAGCAGAGGATGTGTGGATGACTAAAAATTAAATTTAATAAAAATTGTGGAAAAGGTTTTCTTTCTTTGAGGATTATCTGGTTTTTGGGAAAGTTAATATTTATCTTTTTTTAAGTTGCAGACCCCAGCCTCTTTTGCACAGAGTGTTCAGGAGCTAACAATCGCTCTCCAGAGGACTGGAGACCCAGCAAACTTGAACCGTCTAAGACCCCATTTGGAGCTATTAGCAAATATTGACCCTAGTCCAGGTAAATCCAATGAAAATGATGGCCTATGTGTGCCCTCGGTGCTGCAGAGTTTTTGCAATTGCCTTCTGTTATGTTCTTCTAGAATATTTTAGATCTTTTCTATAGTATTTCAGCTTTATCCTAAGTTTGTCTCCTTTTAGCTCATGTAATTTCACCTCACTTAGTATTTATTTAATAACTTCCACTGTGCTACTCAGTCATGAGAAAAATAGATCTCTTTGGGCCCCTTTGTTTTCTTTCTTTGCCAAAACTCATCTTTTTCTCATTTTTATATATTACATGTCTGTCATTGTATTCCCTTGGTTCCGTTTTGGTCTTCTCCATGGTACTTTGTTTTATTAAATACCCTCTCTTGCTTATCTTTATTTTTTCAAACCTTCTCTGCTCTTTCTCTTTGGCCTGAAAATGTTTAACTTATACCTAATAATTACATCTGACAGATGTCATATTCTATCTTATTCTAGCGTTTATTCTTCCTACTGAACCAAAATGCCTAATATTCACTAGAAGTTTCCTAGTGTCTATTTTCTCCTCTCCCTTCTCCTCTTCAATTCAAATTCAAATTACTTCATTTGTCTTCAGCTTTTGATATTTGTTGACTACCTGTTTTTTTTTTTAATTTTTTTAATTGTTTATTTATTGTGTGGGGGGGGGGGCTAGCTCAGCCCACCAGGGGGCGGGGCTGGCTGGCATGTGGTGCTGGGGGATTGAACCGCGGTCTCTGTGCTTTGCTTAGCTTAGCTTGTTCTAAGTAGGCGCTTTAGACCACTGAGCCATCTCACCAGCCCTGACTACCTGTTTGATACTCTTCTGACACCTTATCTTTCTGTGGCCTCATGTTCTCTTCTAACTAAAGTGCTGCTTCTTCCTTTATTAGTAGCACTCTACTTCAGCCCACAGAGGCATAGCTTCCAAGAAAGACATGAATGTTGGTAGGATGTTGTTTGTTATTCATTCTTAGCATCAGGTATTAATCCCTTTCTAGAAAAGACTCTCAGATATCTGTATGACTTTTATTTCTTCAGCATATCTGAGCCATTTTCCTAATGCTTGCTGAGAGTATCCATCTTCTGCCCATTTTTTTTTTTGCCCTGTTATTTTCAAATTGAGCTACTCTTCATTCCATGCCTGTTCATTCTCCTGTGCTTTGTGTTGCTGACCTCATTATTTGAGAAATGTAAGCTTAAAACCTCACTCTTCTGTTTTGCCTCATCTCTTTTCTTTCAGTTGCTCTGTACCATTTTAGAAAACAGAATTTATTGGTTCTTTAATTAAGTAATTGTCCCATGTTCTTTATTGCTGCTTATGTTGGGAGTCTCATTCTTTTTCCCTGAGGCTGAATACTTTCCAATTTTCTGTTCTGTTCCTCTTATGTAGTCTGCTTATTGCTACAAAGTCAGTCATTTCTCATCTTATATCCACTCTCAATTTTCAGGGATACTGCAGTACTTTTGTTTGTTTAATTTTATTTTATTTTTCATAATTTTATTGAGAAACAAAGAGTAATGAGACATTTTTCAAATCAAATTAGTAGGACAGTTTCAATAATACATTGCATATTGTTGTCTTCTTAGTGGTTATTCATTATACAAGATGCAAACATGATATCCTGTTTACAGACATTTTTAGAAGGAATCTTTCTATTTATTGAATTAAGAGAACGTAGCTGTCTATCTATCCTAATCATTTTGACTATACAGATACAAATGGTTGTTCATTTGTATCCCCTTTTTTTGTTTAGTCTTGTCATTTAAATATTATAGGTGTGTGAACTCAGCAAGATATTCCAGGGGCTGGTGAGATGGCTCAGTGGTCTAAAGCACCTACTTAGAACAAGCTTAGCAGAGCACTGGGACCATGGTTCAATCCCCCAGCACCACATGCCAGCCAGCCCCGCCCCCTGGTGGGCTGAGCTAGCCACACACACACACACACACACACACACACACACACACACAAATAAATAAATTTTTTAAAGAAAGATAGTCCAAAATAGTCCAGTAGTCCATAATAGTAGTGGGTTTTCCATATGACTGACAATGTCAGAAGTTGTTGACTTGAGCCTTTTACAGCTCAGCATAATAATATGGTTTTACTTTTTTTTTTCCATAATTTTTTTGAGAAATAAATAGCAATGAGACAGTTTCAAGTCAAATTAGTAGGACAGTTCCAATAATTAACACATTGCATACTGCCTTTCTAGTGGTTATTTGTTGTACAAGATGCAGACATGATATCCTATCTATAAACACTATTAGAACAAATCCCTCTAATCATTGAATTAAGAGAATGTAACTATATATCTATCCTAACCATTTTGAATACACAGATACAAAATGGTCATTCATCTATATCCCCTTTTTTTGTTTAGTTCCATCATTTAAATATTATAGGTGTGTGAGCTTAGCAAGATATTCCAAAATAGTTCAGAAGTCCATAATAGTATGGGTCTTCCACTTGACTGACAATGTCAGAAGTTGTTGACCTGAGTCCCCTACAGCTCAACAAACAACTTAGCTTTACTTCTTGTACTTCTTTTTTATACTTTTCTGCTGGATGGTTAAGACCAAGATAAAGCAAGACCTATGTAACAAGAATTGATACCGCAGTACTTACAGAATAAGCAGTAAAGATTCTGTTAACAGTCAAGATTTTCTGTGGGATTTGAGTTTTGCTTTTCTTTCTTTTTTTTTTTTTTGGTTGGTTTTCGTTTTATTTTTGTGGGGTTTTGTTTAAGATAGGGTCTTGCTATGCAGTTCAGCCAGGTCGTGAGCTCACTGTGTGGTCGAGGCTGGCCTCCAACTCATGGCAATCACGTCTCAGTCTCCCAAGTGCTGAGATTATAGGAGTGGGCAACCATGCCCAGCTTGTGGCTTTTTTTATTTATTCGTTTTGTGGTACTGAGGATTGAACCCTGGGACCAGTACTGAACTACATCCCCAACCCTTTTTATTTATTAGGTTGAAACCAGTCTTAGTAAATTGCCACAGCTGGCCTCAAACTGGTGATCCTCCTCTTTCAGCCTCCTAAGTAGCTAAGATTGCATGTGTGTACCACCATGCACAGTTCTCTTAATTTTTTTTATCAGCCTACTTTTGTAAGTTTGCTCAAGGGTAGCTGCTAAATCATGTGTTCCTAGAACACTTTTCCCACTTTTTTTCCCTGATCCTAAAGATAGAACTCAGGGCCTATGCACTGATTTACATCCCCAGCCTTTTTAATTTTAAGATAGGGTTTTGTGAAGTTGCACATGGTAGGTTCGAGCCCTAGCATAAATTGCTGAATTGCTATGGTGGTCATCTAATATAGCTGACACTTCCAGGGTGCATTTTCCTTTCACCTTTCCTGCCGCCACAGCAAAGACCCAATCAGCTTCTCAGATATTTCTAAACATCTCCTCAAGCTCCATCCCGAGCAAAAGTCCGTAAAAACCTCAGCTTCCTTTGTCTCAGGCTGGAGGATCTTCGTGATCCACCTGCCCTCAGTCCTCTCCACTAGATCCTCTCCATGTCTTTGGAGTTAATAAAGGTTTCTTTTATCTTTCCTATCTCTTTACTGCTTACAGGAAAACCTATGAGCACAGGCTGAGCTTGAACTTCTGATCCTGCCTTGGCCTCCTAGAGTGCTAAAATTATAGGCATGCATCACCACACTTGGCTTTAAGTAAATTCTGTAGCCAGTTCCAAAGGTCACTTGGATTTAACTTATCATCAGCATTTATAACATTGTCCTTTACTCTCTCTCTTCCATGAAGTTTTTCTCTTGGCTTGCAAGTCACCACCTCCTCCTAATTTCCTTTTTACTTTATTAGACTAGTCTCAAGTCCTCTGCTAACTTCCTGTCTCCATTGCTTCTGGTCTTGGAGTGTTTCCAGCTTTTAAATCTGTTCCTCTTTTAAGAGGGGTGGGTGTTTACTGTGCTATACCTCTTTTCTGTTTATGCCTATCTCCCTTCTAGTAAGTTTTCTCCTAGTATCTTCTGTAAAATTTTATGTATATTTGCTTCTTGTCTTTGCTTTATGTTTATCATTCATCATTAGCTAAACATGTTGTATTTTGATTATTGTCTTGTTTATTGTCTGGATACTGTCCTTGAACATGATAAAATTTTGTGTTTTTATCACTGTTGCTTTTCTAGCATCTAGAACATCTCAGAAGTAGTAGCTGTCCAAAAACTTACTTTTGAATGACTGTTCTTGCCACCTGGCTTTCCCCCTTTTTTTCCCTAGATGAAATTCTGTGAGTCCTTTGAAGTCCAGTTCACATACCATCACTGAAGTCTTTTGTGGTGCCTTTCACAGGAAGTCATCTCTATAAAGAAGTCTTCTCACTTGTTTTAATATACATTTTAGAGAATATTTTGTATTTAGCCTTGCAGTTCAATTTTCTATAATAAAGTCAGAGTGCTGGCACTGAGCAGATATTAAGTGATGACATTTGGAAAATTACTTTATATGATAACTCATCTATCCAATTTTTTATATAGTATTTTTTACTCCATATCTGACATATATATAAAACTTCAAAAATCGACATACACATCTGTAGTCCATAGTAAAGTTTTATGTGGTTCTCAGTGTTGGTTTGCATCTTGTTTTAAATTTTTAAGTGCCAGCACTTAAAAACTTAAATTTTGGCTGGGAGCATTGCTCAATGGTATAGTGTTTGCCTTGCATACACAGGGCGCTGGGTTCAGTCCCTTGTGTTGCAGAACAACAAAACAGAAACAAACAGAAATCTGGTAGGGGAAAAAATATAGTGAGCTTTACTTAAAGAGCTCAAATTTAAGTTGTCCCTGAGAAGCAGTAATATATTTGGTAGAAGCAGCCTTACATTTTCCCTTAACAGCTGTCTAAAACTCAGTGATAATCATAATCTTAGGATGATGGATATGCTTATCAGATTGACAGATACCTTGTCATTCTCTGTTGTCTTCAATACTAATGGTCTACTGACAGTTGTCATTATTGCCTGTCCTTTGTTACCTTCCTTTTTGCTGTGTTTGTTTTACTTTGCAACCTCACTGTTAAAAGAGTATGTCCATTCCTTTAAGATGATGATTAGGTAATTCATTTTATTATATGAAAAGCTGTATGAGCCTTAACTTAATTGCACTAACTTCTAGCACTCTTTTATTAACATTAGACAAAATATTGAATCACATTATAGTTTTTTTTGTTGTTGTTTTTTTAATTTCTTACATAGATGCTCCTCCTCCTACATGGGAACAACTAGAAAATGGGCTGGTTGCTGTGCGTACAGTGGTACATGGTCTGGTTGATTATATTCAGAACCACAGCAAAAAAGGAGCTGATCAACAGCAGGTAAGGGAGCAGTTTGAAATTCATAGATAAGCTGCTTTGGATTTAACTTAAAACTCCAGGTGGGCCATTGGTGGGTATATCTACAGATACAAAGCCCAGGGGCTGGGGATATATGCTCAGCAGCATAAGCGCCTGCCTGGCAAATGCAAGGTCCTGAATTTGATCTCTGGTACTGAGGAAACACACACACACACACACACACACACACACACACACGCTGCCAAAAAGGTCATAGCAATATTTTAATGCTGAATAAATTAGTATAATTGGTATAATAAATTGGTAATAAATTGGTAAACTAGTGGTTTAGCTTAGTAACTTTATCTGACAACATTGAAGTAAACCATATTGATCTAATGTGCTGAGGTCACTTTGAATATAACAGCATTTTTAGAGAAAGTAGATTCTCTTTTCCTCACTTTTTATTACATTTTGACAAAAGGTCTCAGTTTTTAGCCGGGTGTGGTGGCACACATCTGTAATGCAGCACTCAGGAGGCTAAGACAGGAAGATTGCCACAGGTCTGAGGCCAGCCTCAGCTAAATATTGAGTTCGAGACCAGCCTCAACTCGATAGTGAGACCCTATCTCAAAAAAGAAGTGTCACTTTTTATAAATAATGTTTTATCTCACCAAAGTTGCTCAGATATCTGTAGATGTTTTTCTGTATTGGTATTTTAAGTTTTCTCATTTGTAATGACTCTTAATCTGGTAATTTAAATTTTCTTTCTTTCTTTTTCTTTTTTTTAATGTATTACTGGGGAACAGTCCAAGGCCTTCACACCAAGCTACATTCTTAGCCCTTTTTTATTTTTTAGTTTAATTTTTTTTTTTTAATTTTGAGGGAGGGTCTTGCTGACTTGCCTATGCTGGGTTCAAACTTGCATTCCTCCTGCTTCAGCCTCCAAGAGTGCTTGAATTATAGACATACACCACCACCACACCTGGCTTTAAAATTTTAAAAAGTGAGCCTTTCCGTGGGTGACGACCTCCCCACGAGAACATGCCTCTCGCAAAAGATCTCCTTCATCCCTCTCCGGAGGAGGAAGAGAAGAAGCACAAGAAGAAGCGCCTGGTGTAGAGCCCCAATTCTTGGCTACTTCATGGACGTGAAGTGCCCAGAATGCTATGAAATCACCACAGTCTTTAGCCATGCACAGACGGTAGTTCTGTGTGTTGGCTGCTCCACTATCCTGTGCCAGCCTACAGGAGGGAAAGCAAGGCTCACAGAAGGATGTTCCTTCAGGAGGAAACAGCACTAACAGTACCCTCAATCAAGATGAGTGGGAAGCCATCCCAATAAATACATTTTGGATATAAAAAATAAATAAAAATAAGTGAAATGTGTGACACTAAATGGTAATACATTATAACTAGAGTTTCTGCTTATACAGCAAATGATTTTATTTTGTCATGATTTTATTTTAGGTTCATTAGCTGTTTTATAGTGATAAGCCTATGAACTTAAAATTCTATAATTTACCTATCATTAATAACAGGTCATTTAATACACTTTTTTCCTAGAAAGGCAGGAAATATAAATTTTCTTGTTAAATAAGTAGAACACTCTAAATATGACTTTCCTAATCAGTCTAAACTTGAACTTTATATGAAGAAAATAACAAAAATAATGAGACGAATTTGAAGATTCAACATAAAGTGATAAAATACACTAAATGAGGTTCAGTGGATTTCCTTATCTCATTAACTCCCGGGTCTGTTGTATTGCCTTATCCCTGAGTTGTAAATAGTAAATTTAATTTGTATCTTTGGAGATTTTCAAGCCCTGTGTATTTTTTCTGTATGTTGAGAATTGGCTATAGTCCAAGTATGGTGGTGCATGCCTATAATCCCAGTACTTGGGAGACTGAGGCAAAAGATATGCCATGAGTTCAAGGCCAGCCTGGCCTACACACTAAGATCCTGTCTCAAAAATAAAAAAGAGGGCTATGGAGATAGCTCAGCAGTCTAAGCACCTGCCTGGCAAGTGTAAGGACCTGGGTTTGATCCCCAGTACTTCATGCCTAGCTGGCCACCAGGACTGGGCATGGTGGTGCACACCTGTAATCCCAGCATTGGGGAGGCTAAAACAGGAGAATCACTTTCAGTCCAAACTGCGTAGTGAAACCCTGTACAAAAGAATTGGTTATAGAAGACAGGAGCAGAGATCACAAATTTGAGGCTCCCTGACAACTTAGTGAGATCCTGTTTTGTTATTTTTAAAAAGGGAGAGATGGGAGCTGGGAATATATAGTTCAGTGATAAGTGCATTTGCCTAGTATGTCAGTCCATCTATTCGAGCTCTAGCACTGAAAAGAAATTGGTTATTAGGACTTTTGATTTTGTGATGTATAATAAAATATATAGCTGTACTGAACATTGTACAAAAAATATGAGAAGAGAGTTTGTTCTTTCCTCAGAGCCTTAAACTGTTGGTTGGAGGCTGAGGCAAGAGGATCACTGTGAGTTGTAGGGCGGCCTAGGCTGCATAGCAAGACCCTATGTCAAACAGACATAAACTTCAAAAAAATCATACATCTCCCCTGAGATTTATTCAATAATTATATGATGCCATAAATTTGAGAATTAATATCAGCAGGTCAAAAAAGTCCACACTGAGGGCCAGCCAAATAGCTCAGCGGATTAAAGCACATGCAAGCAGATGAAGGAGTCAGGTTCAATCACGGGGCCTGCCATGCTGGCCCCGCCCCTGGGGCGCACTGAGACAGCAGAAGTCATTTATGATTTTTGACACAGTGACCTTCCCATACTTTTTTTTTTTTTTAATTTTATGTGTGTGTGTGTGTGTGTGTGTGTGGCCAGCTCAGCCCGCCTGGGGGTGGGGCTGGCTGGCATGTGGTGCTGGGGGATTGAACCGCAGTCCATGTGTTTTGCTAAGCTTGTTCAAAGTAGGTGCTTTAGACCACTGAGCCATCTCCCCAGCCCCTTCCCATACTTTTGCTCTGCATAGTTTTTTTGGGTGTTTTGTTTGGTTTTGGTTTTTAGGGGGTTTTGTTTTGTGGTTTGATTTAGTTTTGTAGTTGTTTTGAGATGAACTCACTATATAGTTCAGTCTGGCCTTGAACTCAGGCCATCCTGCCTCAGCCTCCTGAGAGCTAGGCATGTGTGTGCTATCACACTTGGCATTGTTCTGTGTAGTGTAGATAAACATGGGACTCATCTAAATTACTCATCTAGACTATCAGGATCTTAAACTGACAATAGAAAATTAATGGTTTTTTAAAATGTTTTTTATTTTATTGAGAAAACAAATATCAGTGAGACAGTTTCAAAGCTGAATAATAGGACAGTTTCAATAATTCATACATTGTACATTATTATCTTATTAGTGATTATCCAAGAAGCAGACAGGATATCCTATCCAAACACTATTTAGTACAAATCTTTCTTCTCATTGAATTAAGCGAAAGTAGCTGTATATCTATCCTAACTATTCTGTATATACAAATACAAAATCGTCCTTCCTTTGTATCCCCTTTTTTTGTTTAGTCCTGTCAGAGATGGGTATTCCACTGGCATCTAAATACTATAGGAGCGTGAATTCAGCAAAACAATCCAACACTGTCCAGCAGTCCACAGGGTTTTTTTTTTGTTTTGATGGTCTTTGTTTTATATCTAATGTTCTGATTTTGTTTGTAGCCTCCACAGCATAGCAAGTATAAAACGTACATGTGTCGAGATATGAAGCAGCGGGGAGGATGCCCTCGTGGAGCCAGCTGTACATTTGCACACTCACAGGAGGAACTAGAAAAGTAAGTATAAAGATCATAAGACTTGACTTTTAGAATAACATAAAAACAGAATATTTCTCTGACTTCGAGAAGTAAAAAAATGAATAGTAAATTTTCAGAGAATTGAAAACATAATTTCTTTTTTCTTTTTCTTTTTTTTTTTTTTTTTGTTTTGTTTTTGGCGGAACCAGGGATTAAACTCAGGCCCTTGCACTTGCCAGGGAAGCGCTTATTCCCCTGAGCCATCTCCCCAGCCCCCTGAAAACATAATTTCTTAAAGAGTAGTGTCTTCAGCTTTAATTACATTGTTCCTAGAGATAGAAGCTAGTTTTTTTGGTGAGTTAAATCTAAATTTAAGTTGTTCATTTGCTTCATTTTGTTTTGTGTTTTGTTGTTATTTGTGATACTGGGATTGATCCTGGGACTTTCACATGAAGCTACATTTCTTTTAAGTTAGTTTTTCTTTTGAAACAAATCTTACTAAAAGGTCTTGAACTTGTGCTCCTCTTACTTGGCCATCAGAGTGCAAGGATTATAGGCATACAGCACCACACTGAACTTGAATAATAAACTCCAATGTCAGTTATACATCAAAATCCTTTAATATCATAGAAATGTCGTAAGTATTTTCCACAAGTAAATTATATCTTAAATTATATCTACCAGCCACTGTAGTAATATGACACTTAGAGCAATGTTTAATTTGGTCTCAAGAGAGACTAGTAACTAATCACCTATATCCTAAGCTAAAGTGAATGTATAGACTATGGTATTGCACAGGATTAGATAGCTCAATGAAATATAATGGAGAATATAGAAAGAGTGAAAAACATGAAATCAGCACTTGTGGTCAAGGTAACATTTTAACAGTGAAATAACTGCTATACATTTGAAAAATTTTATCCTGATCTTTACAATTGAATGAAGCATTTTACCTGTATACATAAGTAATCAAAAGTTTCAATATGTAGGAAGGAAAGCAGAGTACTAAGAAGTGTTTTTGTTGTTGCTAAGTCTTAAGGGAGGAAGTAATTCTTTATGAGTGGCAATCCTGCATCCATAATAGGATTGATAAATATTATATAAAAATAAAAAATAAGACAGTAAATACCACAGTTAAAGAGAAGCTAGGCATGGTGACATATACCTGTAATCCTACTACTTGGAAAGCTGGGGCAGAAAGAGTGCTGTGAGATCAAAGCCAGCCTAGGCTACATAGCAAGACTGTCTCAAAAACTGAGAGTGATTGAGAGAGCAAGATCCTTGACACATGATGAGCTCCTGCAGATCTATAAGGAGGAGAAACCATGGGTTACTGGATCATAAGTAGTGTTCTAATCCTGTGTTGCTTGAACAAAAGAGGGTTGTTTGGCAAATGATTTTGTGATTCTACAGGGTCCAGACAGTACAGAGCAGAATCTCTGTAAGGGCTCCGTAGGTTGTGTCATGACATGGTGTAAAAGCAGAAAGAGCTACACTGTGATTTAATGTGTGGCTTGTTCTTGCACAGACTGATTCATTCTGCAACTCCAGCATTAGCACCTTCCATGAACAATGACTTCATTCCCTTCCCCTAGCTACCCCCTCCTAAAGGTTCTGCCACCTTGCTACATTGCTGCACTGGGGACCAAGCTTCCAGCACATACCCTTTGGTGGGCACATTTAACCCATGACTAACCCATAGCAAACAGACAATTCACAGAGCTAATACCAATGGCCATCACACATGTAATATGTTCAGTCTCAATAGTCATTAAAGAAATGTAAATTAAACTTTTTGCACTATTAAATTAACATTGACTCATGCTACCCAGTATTTCATAAGGTATTAAAAAACATTTTCTTAGGGGCCGGGAAGATGGCTCAGTAGAATAAGCGCTTCCCTGGCAAGTGCAAGGGCCTGAGTTCATTCCTCAGTTCTGCAAATAAATAAATAATAAAAAACATTTTCTTGTATTATCAGAAGTTACTAATAGTTTTAGAGAACAGTATAGCATTATGAAAGTTTATAATATGTACACTGTTGACATATATGCACACTGGTTATTCACACAAGGGTAGAAATATATATACATAGCTATCAGATATAAGGAATTTTTTTTTTTTTTTTTTTTTTTGGCTTCGAATGCCTTCAGGGCAGGTTTGGCTGGCTTGAGTTGTGGGAATCAAACCACAGCAACCTGAGCCTGACTGCTTGGTTGAAGCAGCCACTTAAAGAACTGAGCTAAGGGGCAGGCCCCCTATCAGATACAGAATTTAACATTTTAATAGCAAAAAAAAAAAAACCTAAGATGAACTGACAGAAGGGAACATTAAAGATTAATTAAAAATTAAATATTGAATTTTTAATTAAATATTAAAAATTAAAGGGCTAGCCAAATAGCTCAGTGGATTAAAGTGCCTGGTTAGGCAGATGCAGCAACAGGGGTTCGATCCCCAGCATGCTGTGTCCCTGCCCATATCCCCCCAACTCCCCCCCCCCCCATTGAGACTGGGCGTGGTGGCGCATGCTTGTAAGCCCAGCTCTTGGGAGGCTGAACACAGGCAGATCATTATGAGTCCAATCTACATAGTGAGAACCTGTAGACCCTGTCCTAAAATACAAAAAAGATAAATAGGGAAAAGTCACTGTAATACATGACCCTGTTTCTTTAATAATCTTGATATGGTTGTTAAACATGGTGTCTAGAACAAAAAAATATGTGTAATTCTTAACAGTGGTTACCCCTGAGCCAAGCATGGTGGTGTGTTCCTATAACCCCAGCACTTGGGAGGTTGAGGCAGAGGAGGATCATTGTGAGTTTGAGACCAGCCTGGGCTACAAAGTGAGCTTAAGGCCAGCCTGAGCTGCATGTAATAAGACCCTCTCTTAAAAAAAAAAAAGACTGAAAACCCCCATAAAATCTTAAATGTTTCAGATTTAAAAAACATAGAAAAATAACAGCACTATTCTAGTAGGGATAGTTTTGACCTTGTTCTTAAAAATATACTAGCAATTTGCTTTCATTGTTAAGGAACAAAAATGCTGGAGTATGGTGACTTAGTTTTGTTCCTTTTGTTAGATTTAGAATCTGTAATGTTCTTTAAGCCACAGCAACTGTGTAAACTTAGGCCATTCTGTAGTATTGTTTCCCTTAACAAACTTTCTTTTCTTTTTGGTCTTTTTGAGATGGCTTCACTATGCAGTCCAGGCTGACCTCTAACTCAAAGATCCTCCTTTGTTAACCTTCTGAATGCTGGAATTACAGGTGTGCATCACCATGCCTGCCTTTCCTTAACAACATTTTAAGTAACTTCAGTTTTATGTGAAGACTCAATAAATAACATAAACATTTCTGAAGCAGTTCTGATGAAAGTAATCTTAATTATATAAACATTTTAATGTAGTAAACAGTAAATCTCTCAGTGTGTATTGGCTTTTGTTTTTGAACATTTGGGGGCTTATTTTTGCTGCGTCCCCAAGCTGGTTTGATTTGGTTTGGTTTTGTGGTATTAAGTCCAGAGTTTAAGGCATGCTAGGCAAGCTCTCTGTCACTGAATCATTCTTATCCCCTCTTTTGTTTCTAACATAGGCTACCTATATTTAAAGTACACATTTGAAGAAAAACTAACGTAAATATTTCAAGCTGTCTACCCTACCCTAATAATTTTCAGAAATAGAAATTTCAATAAGTATTATAATACAAATATTGACTAACATGATTTGTAATTTTATATAAATATTTAGTGTATTATAGTACAGGGTCTCACTACAGAGCTCAGACGCATAGTGATCCTCCTCTTTTCAGTCTCTAGGTGTGCACTACCATGCCTTGTCTCAGTTGCCAGCTCAGCATGGCCCAGGGGCAGGGCCAGCATAGCATGTGGTACTGGGGAACCCCAGTCCCTGCATTTGCCTAAGCAAGTTCTTAGTCCACTGAGCTATCTCGCTGGTCCTGTAATGGTATAAATGTTAATACATGTTTAGTGTCAAGAATTTTACTTTTATTCAGTGTGCTATGCTGCTTGAGATTTTATAAGAAGTGTACATGTGGTTCTCAAGTTCATAGACCCATTGTTTTCAAGAGAGAATTCTAGGTACCTTTTAGTTCTTGGTTTTCCTTTCATATTTGTTTCTTTATGTATGCCTTATCTTTTTGTATAGATTTCGTAAAATGAACAAGCGTCTGGTTCCCAGAAGACCCCTGAGTGCCTCTTTGGGTCAGCTTAATGAGGTGGGCCTGCCTTCAGCAGCCATCCTTCCAGATGAAAGTGTGGTGGATCTGCCTAGCAGAAAAGCCTCTGCGCTGCCCAATGGAATTGTGTCAGCTGGGAGCACAGTAACACAGCTCATCCCCCGAGGGACGGACCCCAGCTATGATTCTAGTCTGAAGCCAGGGAAGATAGATCATCTGAGCAGTAGTGCTCCTGGATCCCCTCCTGACCTGTACGTCATTTTTCCTAAGTCTTAAGGGTTCTTCCTGACACATAGATGTAGAAGGAAGGGGGAATAATTGTTTTGTTTTGGAAGGAGAAAAACTAATTTTTTGTCTTTATTTTGTTTTTTAACTTCTGTTTCCTGTACTAGTGATTTTTTAAAAAGAAATCACTAGCACAGGTTAAAGAAGATAAAATTACACAAATTTTGTAGAGTTGAATATTAGAATAAACCAATTTCTCAAACTGTGCCAATCTTTTTTACCCATAACAATTACTGTTACATTGAATGTATTTAGAGACCTTAAACTTGACTTGTATGATCTTATTCTCTTAGGCTAGAATCTGTCCCTAAGAGTATCTCTGCCTTACCTGTGACTCCACATCCTGTACCTCAAAGGGGGCCACCAGAACTGCCCTCCATGCCTGTCACCAAACCACTTCAGATGGTACCTCGAGGTTCTCAGTTATATCCAGCACAGCAAGCTGATGTTTATTATCAGGATCCTCGAGGAGCTGCCCCACCATTTGAACCAGCATCTTATCAGCAGGGTAAAAATCTTTCATTATGTCATTTGCTTTTCTGATATTTACTGGTATAAGAAGTTTCCAAGTAAGAGTGTTTGTTTTGCATAGTAGCCTGGTTAACATAGATGTATTTTTTTTCTTTGTTTGGTTTGTTTGAGACAGGGCCTCACTATGCAGTTATTCTGGCTTGAGCTCACTGTGTAGCCTGGTTTGGCCTCAAACTCGTTGATCCTTCTGCGTGAGCCTCCTGAGTGCTGGGATTACAGATGTGCACCAACACTCAGCTCCTTTTTTTTTTTTTTTTTTTTTTTTTTGTATTTATTACAGGGTCTCACTACATAGATCAGACTCGTAGTGATTCTCCTGTCTTCAGCCTCTCGAGCTGGGATTACAGGTGCACACCATCACACCCAGTCTCTCAGCTTGCTCTGGGGGCGGGGCCAACACATCAGGGTTGAACCTGGTCCCTGCGAATCCAACCAGCCCTCAAGGTCAACTTGAATACATAGTGAGACCCTTCTCAAAGAAAAAAAAAAAGAACGTAGGAATTTGAAAATTTTCTAAGATTTAATGATAGTACAAAACAAGACAAATGGCTTTTCACATTTAACTTCACAGAGGTGTTACATCTGTCAGAAAAAGTATAATTCAATTTTTCTTTTTCTGTACTATGGATTGAACTCAGGGCCTACACATTGAGCTTCATCTCCACAATTTTTTTAAGATAAGATCTTTCTCAGCTTACCAAATAGGGCTGTAATTTACAGTCCTTCTCTCTCAGCCTCCCAGAGTGCTGTATAGATGTGCACTACCATATCAAACTTAATGCATTTATTTTTTAAAATGGTAATAGATCTAGAATATTCTCTGTTATTTAACCACAGCTGTCTTAATTTTGAATCAGAAATACCATCTCTGCATTCAGAAGAATGGTTTTTAATTGATACAGCATTAGTAACGTGATGATTTGTTCATTATAGGAAAATCCAAGTACTTCTGAGATGGCCAGTGTGTAACTTTAAATAGAAATCATATCAGTTAAGGTTCAATTGTAGGTAACAGGAGCGGGGGAGATAGCTTAGTGACATGAGCGCCTGCCTGGCAAGCACTTGGTCCTGAGTTGGAGCCCAGTACCCCCACCAAAAGAATGTAGATAACAAAAAATCATTTTAACTATGAAGTAGAAAGAGGTTTTGTGTATCACATCTCTTGTTAGTTAATTTGTTTCATATTCAAAACTCCAGTAGACTTCTGTAATCTCAGCACCTGGGAGGCTGAGGCAGGATGATTGTCCCATCCTTAAGGCCAGCGTGGGCTACACAGCAAGTTCTCAAGACTAAAAGAAACCCAAAAATACAAAGGGAAGTCTGCAAAATTAAGGTTTTTGTTTTTTCATGTCTTCATTCATTAAGGCACACCAGAAAGGGGGCAAATGGTAAGAGCAGTCCACTATTGTACATTATAAATAGATCACATTCTTTAACTTCTTTATTAATGGTATGTACACATTCTTGGGATCAAACCCAGCACCTTATGCAGACTAGGAAAGCACTGAACTACACCCCATCCCTGTGGAGATGTTTTGCTGGTTGTTTCTTGTAAAGCTTACATGACTGTATTATATAGCAAAAGGGAAAACTTCCATAGAAATAGATGATTGATTGATACTTAAGTGTTTCCCATATTTTAAATAAAAAAATTCTTACATAGAAAAATTGACTGGTTCATTGCTGCTTTTGGTTCCTCTTTTGTATTATTCAGGGGTGTACTATACTCCACCACCTCAGTGTGTGTCCCGCTTTGTTCGACCTCCGCCATCTGCTCCTGAAGTTGGTCCTCCGTACTTGGATCATTATTCACCCTACCTCCAAGATCGTGTTGTGAACTCTCAGTATGGCACACAGCCTCAGCAGTACCCAGCTATGTACCCACCTCACTATGATGGCCGTCGAGTGTATCCTGCTCAGTCTTACACAGCAAGAGAAGAGATTTTCAGAGAAAGTCCTATACCCATTGAGATTCCATCTGCAGCAGTACCATCATATGTACCAGAGTCCAGAGAGAGATACCAGCAGGTGGAAGGTTACTATCCAGTGGCTCCTCATCCAACTCAGATCAGACCTTCATACCCCAGAGTAGGCTATTATTTCTTCTCATTATAACTCCTAATTTGATAATTGCTTACAGTGATACCTTTTTCTTTTTTCCTCATGATAAGAACCCTTTGATTCAATTTTTTTAAAGTAATAATGCTTCTTTATTTTTTCAGTCTTTTCATAATTTAAGGTTATTTTTTAAAAACTTTATTGGACCATCCTTCCCCAACTAACCATTCTTAGTTGGTGAACTTTAGATGATTTTGTTAATAATTCTAGGTCTATTGGAAATTTTTGGTGTCTGCATAAGAAAAGCCTACATTTTAAATTTTAATACTTTGTTTTAACTAGTTTTTGTTGTGGTTTGTTTGTTTGTTGTTTGTTTTGTGGTACCAGGACTTGAACTCAGGACCCTGTGCTTGCCAGGCAGGCGCTTATTCTACTGAGCTGTCACCCTTGCCCCTGTTTGTTTTTGAGACAGGATCTTGTTTTGTAGTTAAGGCTGGCCCTGAACTCACCGTGAAACCCAGGATGGCCTTGAACTCATGGCGATCCTCCTACCTTAGCCTCTTGAGTACTGGGATTACAGGTGTGCACCACCATGCCAGGCTAAGAAGCCTAAATTTAGCTCTTTATGAGCTCTTAAGAGTTTTGGTTGGGTTTTTGTTTGTTTGTTCTTTTAAGTCTTCATATTTGCAAATTGGTTCTACTTTAAAATACATACTAGTTGAATTAATGTGTTCTGAATTCCTTTGTTGATTTTTAACTGATGTATTTTCAGGAGCCTTCTTATGGCCGGTTTCCTCCTCCTCCACAGCCCCATCCTAGTCTAGATGAACTACATCGTAGACGCAAGGAAATAATGGCCCAGCTTGAGGAAAGAAAGGTTATCTCTCCGCCTCCTTTTGCACCTTCACCAACATTACCTGCGTTCCATCAAGAGGAAGTAAGCACGTACTTACAATTGCCAGTTTTTCCTTTATTAATTTTAGGTCTGCATATGCTGTTGAATTAATCTGTATTTCCAAGGTTATAAAGAAATTTTTGGGGCTGGGGAAATGGCTCGTAGAATCAGCACTTCCCTGGCAAGCACAAGGGCCTGAGTTCAATCCCCAGTTCCGCCAAAAAAAAAAAAAAAGAAAAAGAAATTTTTTGTAGAGGATTATTTTTATTTTATATTTGGATCTACAATCCATTTAAAATTTAATTTTATGTAGAGTGCATTAGGATTTGAAATCATTTTTTCTGAGTTTTTGTTTTAGTATTTGTTTTTTGTTGTTGTTTTTTCCTTTAGTGCTAGCAACTGGACCCAAGGTCTTACACATGGTAGGTACAAGCTTTACCACTGGAGTACATCCCTAGCCCACTATCCATTTTATTTTTCCCTGATAAGGATATTTTATTGATTACATCATTTAGTGAATATCTTGGCTTTATTCGGTTTTATCCATCTGTTTATATCATTACGCCAATACCATATATTCTCTCTCTCTCTCTCTCTCTCTCTCTCTCTCTCTCTCTCTCTCTCTTTCTCTCTCTTTTTGTGGTACCGGTGCAGAAGGCCAAAAATTATAAATAGAAAACAGAACTTGTAACTGTAAGGGGAGGTATAATACTTAGATAACCTATATTGCTTATAAGTATTAATAGTTTTGTAATGCTGCCTTTTCTTGGTAAAGGTTTGGTGAATTTACACCTGTTTCTATCATGGACTAAGCTTATGAAATATTTTACATGAAAGTACTTTGAAAATGTATAATATATGTATAGAGAATTGTAGAACTTGAGACAAAAATTACGCATCTTCTCTTTTTATCTCATTGAATCATTATATGGACCATAATTTATTCCAACTATGAATTACTCCTGTTAAAGAGATTTCAATAGAGTTGTTAAATCATCACCCACTGAGTAGACATGCCAATTGTATATCATGTTCTTGTGTACCTGAGATGTTAGTAGAAGAGCCACTGAGGTTAATACAGCGAAAGTACCAGCAGATCACCTCTGAAATCCTACCTTAAAGGCTGGGGACAGGCTTAGTTGTAGAGTACTTATCTTGGATGTGTAAGGCCTCAGGTTTAATCCCACTACAGGGGCATAAATCCTAGCTTGATTACTTGAAAAATATTGGGTATGTCTGTTTGCCCTGGTAGCATCAAAATATGAAGCCTAAGGACATGGTTCTTCTTCACTTACATTTTTTCTGACTACAAAAGTCTATCCTAACACTTAAAAGTCAAATATCTGTCATTTTAATTGCTGTAGCTTGTTGTTTTAAGAAATTCTTTGTTTATCATGTAACACATAGATTCAAAATTTGTCTTTCTGGGGTTTTTTTCTTTCTTTTTTTTCTTTTTTGAGTTTTTGGACGATGACTTGAAGATAGCTGGAAAGTACAAAACAAATGATTATAGCCAGTATTCTCCTTGGTCATGTGACACCATCGGCTCCTACATTGGAACCAAAGATGCAAAACCCAAAGATGTGGCAGCAGGGAGTGTGGAAATGATGGTATGTGTTAATGGCTTAAGCCAGAAATAATACAAATCAAGACAAACTAAGTTTTTAACTGTTATAGTTTGAGCATAAATAATTGAGCTTTTAAGAGTTTTAAACCATAATCTGTAGTTGTGTTACAATTATATGGGCTTTTTAAATTTTATTCAGGTATAAACAAAAACCTGAGCTGGACATGGTGGCGCATGCCTGTAATCCCAGCACTTGTAAGGCCAAAGCAGGAAGAAGGATTGCCTCAAATTCCAGCCCAGCCTGGGCTATATAGTGGTCTACATCCATAGCGAGTTCAAAACCAGCCTGAACTGTATAGCAAAACCCTGTCTCCAAAAACTAAAAATAAAAAATCCTGTATTGTCTAGATGAAGAACATTTATTAGATTGTTGTGAAGGTAGCTGTTTACCAACAGTTGTATACAGTTTGTATTTTAATTAATTATTTATTTATTTGGTGCAGCATCTTGCTATGCAGTTTGGACTCATAGTGATCCTCCTGTCTCAGCCTCCCCAGCACTGGGATTATAGGCGTGTACCTCCATGCCCCATTTCAGTGGCTGGCATGGCATGCAACACCAGGGATTGAACCCAGGTCCTTGTGCTTGCCAAGCAGGTGCTTAGACCATCGAGTTACCTCCCCAGCCCTCATATTTAATTATTTAGGCCCATGCTTGATTGTTTAGATAATTAGAATCTTGAATTTCTTCGATGAATAAATCAGAACTGTTTTACAACTCTGAAGTATAACCAAGGTCAAATCTAGTGAATAAGAGTGTGTGAGTCAGAATTTTAGCCACTTAGCTTCAAGTGAGCAATAAGACATTGAAATATGCTTGGATTGGTTTTGCTTTTAAAATGAAAAGTAATGTAATCTAACAAGTGAATCTAACAAGTCAACCTTAAAAATATTTTCTTTTATGTTTTTACAAATTGAGGGGGCCGGGGAGATGGCTCAGTAGAATAAGTGCTTGCCTGGCAAGCGCGAGGGCCTGAGTTCAACCCCCGGTTCCACCAAAAAGAAAAGGGCTATTGGAATAAATCAATAGGGTCTATCAAATAGCTCAGCAGATTAAAGTGCCTGCAAGCAGGCATAGGGGCTGGGAGTTCAATCTCTGGGCCTGCCTTGCCAGCCCTGCCCGACGGTGGCTCACACCTCTAATCTCAGCTCTTGGGAGGCTATAAATAGGTGGATCACTGTCCAATCTAGTAGTGAGACCCTGAACACCATGTAGCCCCTTCCCTAAAAATACCCCCCCAAATTGAAACTTTGAATCCTATTATGCTTACTCTCCCTTCCCCTACCAGTTGTAACCTCTATCCTGAGTTTAATGTTTATCATTTTCATGTTTTGTTTTGTTTTTGAGGTGGGGTCTGACTCTTTTTGCCTAGCCTGGGCTCCAGTGATCCTACTGCCTCAACCTACCTATTAGCCAGGTTTGCCACCATGCCCAGCTTATGTTGTTGGGATTTTTTTTTTTTTTTTTTTTGTTGGTTGGTTGATTGGTTTTTCGTTTTTTGGGTTGCGTTGGGTTGGGTTGGGTTTTGGGTTTTTTTGGTTTTGGGGGTGTTTTTTGGTCTTTTTGAGACAAGGTCTTGCTACACAGTTCAGACTGGACTCAAACCCACTTTGTATCCCAGGCTGGTATCCAATTTGCAGCAATTCTCCTGCTTCAACCTCGAGAGTACTAGGATTAAAGACTACATTGTTCTTTTAAAAAAATACTGTTTTCTGTATTTATAAATATCTTATAAATTCTATACTTCAACCTGAATTTGTAGCATATTTTGAAATGTGCCCATATTTATACCGATAGCTCAGGTTCATTCGTTTCAGTTGCTTTTATGAGATATTGTATAACTCATTCAATAGAATATATAACACGGTTATTTATCTTCTGTTGATGCACACTTAAGCTTTATTTGGCCTTTTGCTATTATGTACAGTGCTATAATGAACATTATCTTATGCTGTAATAAAAGTTATGCTCACAAGGTATGGTTGTGTGGGTCTGTATTCCAAACACTTGGTAGGCTGAGGCAGAAGGTTCTCTGTGAATTCAAGGCCAGTTTGAACTACACAGCTAGACCCTGTCTCAAAAAATTGAGCAACAGTTATTATGCTTAAAGGTAATACTACTGGGTTGAAATGAATGTCTTAATTTGATTCTTGACTCACTTGCCCTTTTTAATTGTGAATATGTTTCCAAGGCTGTGATACAGGTTTTAAAAAATATATTGAGAAGACTATTACTTGGTAGTAGAAAAGATTTGAGTGCTGATGCCACTATAAATGAAGTGATGGCTGTAGTATGAACTGTAAATACAAGTAGATGACAGTCCTCCAAAACTAATAGGCAAGCAAGAAGAGCATAATATGCCTTTAGCAGGCGGGGATATAGCTTGGTGGCAGCATACTTGCCTAGATAATGTGAGGTCCTGGGTTCAGTCCCCAGTACTGCCCAAAAAAGGATCCTTTACTTTGATTTTTCTGTGCTGTAAATGAGGAAATATTGCTCTTAAGTCAAATAGGCCTTTCACTAGAAGGACACAGGACATGGAATAAGGCAGGAACCCTTGCTTTGCACTTTTTTCAGTTACTACAGTAACATAAGTATTAGGAAAATAAAGCTAACTCTCCTAAAGTAATACAGAATGAAAGCTTATGAATGTTTGAAGATCTCTCAAATAAACAGTCTAGTCTATTGCTTTTCAAGCATTAATGTACATATGCATTACCTGGGGAATCTGTGTGAGAATATGTGTGTCTATAAAATATTTCCAGTCATAAAATATATTTCTTACTATGTATAAAAGGTTTTAAAAAGTGTTTTATATGACAAAGGTAACCAATGATTTTAATCGTGCTAGTAAGAACATGTACTATCATGTAATTATTACAGTGCTAGTGGAAATTGTGCTCTAGACCCAAGTGTGGAATAGACTTGTTTTTCTTTTTTATCAGAATGTGGACACTAAAGGAATGCGAGACCAGAGATTGGATCTTCAAAGAAGAGCAGTAGAAACCAGTGACGATGACCTTATCCCATTTGGAGACCGACCAACAGTATCTCGCTTTGGTGCCATCTCTCGAACATCCAAAACAATATATCAGGGTGCTGGCCCAATGCAGGCTATGGCACCTCAGGGAGCTCCCACAAAGTCTGTCAACATTTCAGGTAAGACTCAAGGAGAGCTGATCTAATGGGTTTGTATTCATGATCCTGGAATCACCCCTCCCTCTTCACTATCTGTGCTTTAGTAATCTTCAAGGCGGTAACTTTCCCTGTAGCATTATCCCTGTAAGAAAGGTAATCATAACCCAAGGAGTTTAAGGGGGTAAGCAAAAATTAACTATCTATATGTTAATATTCTCTATGCTATTTTTCTTTAAATAACTTCATTAATTTATTAAAATACCGTATTCTCATTAGGAAAAGGAAAATATAAAAGCTGAACATTTAGCAAGAAAGAAATATCAATCAACATTACCGTTTTGGTAGATATTTTCCTGGAAAGCTGTGTATACAATATGCCTATACCTTTCAGATGATAAGTATCTTAGAAGAAAAATCAAACCTGAATTACGTCACACCACAGTAACTCACTCTTTTACAGATTATAGCCCATACGGAGCCCATAGTGGCTGGGGAGGCTCTCCATATTCACCACATCAAAACATACCTTCTCAGGGACACTTAAGTGAGAGGTATGACTCATTTTTTACTTCTATAGAGCTTTAAAATTATCCAAATTTTTTGACTTTGTTTTTCTAATGTGTAATATTTCCACAAAATAAAACTTTAAAATTTGTTTCATGTTTTTTCATGGAAGGGAGAGAATATCCATGGCAGAAGTGGCCAGTCATGGAAAGCCCCTTCCTTCTGCTGAGAGAGAACAGCTTCGACTAGAATTGCAACAACTGAACCATCAGATTAGCCAGCAGACCCAGCTACGTGGGTTGGAGGTACTAGCCAATAGATATGTCTTCATTCCAGTTTTTTAAGCGTTCTCTATTTTAAATGAAGAAACTTCTGAGGCACTCCCAGAACTCAGAAGGCTGAGCCAGATGAAGATCACTGCAAGTTCAAGGCCAGCCTGAAGTAGATAATGAGGCCCTTTCTCCAAAAAAAGAAAAAGAAAAAAAAAAAAAAATTAGAGTTACTATAAATATCCATGTCCATTCTTTAAATAATTCAGTACTAGGTTCAGTTCTGGGATAATGGAAAACAGAATTATTATGACCTAAGAATAGAAAACAGATTCCCACTAGAAGTTTATTTTGAATTTCCTGGACGGGGTGTGGTGGCACTTGCCTGTAGTCCCAGCGCTGAGGGGCTGAAAACAGGAGGATCCCTACAAATCTAATCTGTGTAGTGAGACCCTGTAGACGCTGTACTAAATACACTTTTGAAAAAAGATTAAGGTAAACAGTTTTGTCAACTTTTTTTTGGAGACAGGGTCTCTTCTGTGCAGTTCAGGCTCTGGCCTTCCCCTCACTGTATAGCCCAGGGTGGTCTCAACTCAGAATAATCCTCCTGACTCAGCCTCCCGAGCACTGGGATTCAAGCATGTACCACCATGCCTGGCTCAACTGATTATTTAGCTTTTTGCAGGATTGGCTTTTATTTTTGTTTTTCCTTTTTCTTGTTTTCTTGTTGACACAAAATTTTCACTTAGCCACATGTCATGGCACACACCTACACTCCTAGCACTCTTGAAAGCTCAGCCAGGAGGATTGCAAGCTCAAGCCTAGCATGGGTTGTTTGTTTGTTTGTTTGTTTGTTTCTTTCTTTCTTTCTTTCTTTCTTTCTTTATTTATTTATTTATTTATTTGGTGGAACTGGGGATTGAACTCAGGCCCTTGTGCTTGCCAGGGAAGCGCTTATTATACTGAGCCATCCCCTCGGCCCCTCATAATTTATTAAAACTCAAAAAAGGCATGATCATGAGCTTTAACTTTAAAAATAAAAAGCCTTTGTATAGAATGTATATGAATACCTTTCATTTATATAGTTTTTAACCAGTTTATAAGTTATTCTCACATATTTTATTTGACCCTTTGACCCTTGGCTGTGTCCCTGACTAGTATGTCAAGTAGGTGAAGTAGGTGATATAGTCTTCCCTTTTGATTAAAGGGTACAAGTAGTTGTTGTTTGTTTTTTAAATCATAATAGAATGCTGAGCCAGACATGGTGGTACACAAGTGAGGCTGAGGCAGGAGACTTGCCATGAGTTTGAGGCCAGCCTGGGCTATTTAAAGACCACTGTGTACTACAGAGCAAGGCCCTGTCTCATAAGGAAAACAAAAATTAAAACAGTATTATGTTTGCTTATGTTGGTTTTTAGTTCATTAACTTTTTAAATATTTAGATCTTCATTCCCATAAGGTGAATTACTCCTTATCCTCAAATTAAGGCTTTTTATCTTAGTTGAAGTAGGATATTTTTGTTTTTGTTTTTTTTGCAATAGGGTCTTGTTCCATACTCAGGCTGGCCTTCAGTTCACTATATACCCCAAGCAGGCCTCACCCTGGCAGCAATCATCCTGCCTCAGGCTCTCTAGTGCTGGGATTACAGGCGTGTGCTTTATCCTAGTTGAAGTTTTGAGATTCGTTTTCTGTCTTAAGAGTATTGGCACTACACAATCAGTATTAAAAGTTTGCCACATACTCAATATTTAAAATCCTTGCCATTATTGAAGTTCTATTCAAATACATTATAGGATTTACATCACAGAAAACCAAAAAAAGGAGAAAGATAACCTACGAATAGTTGACTTCTCTTTCAGATAAGAAAATAAAAATACCAGTGTATATGTAAGATTTCTTTCTTTCTTTCTTTCTTTCTTTCTTTCTTTCTTTCTTTCTTTCTTTCAAGACAGGGTCTTACTGTGTAATTCAGGCTGGCCTTGCATGCACTATTTAGCCCATGCTGGATTCAAATTCATGGCGATCCTCCTGCCTCAGCCTCTCAGATGCTGGGATTATAGGTTGCGCCATCACACCTGCCATCGTATAGCTAAGCTGAAGTAACTATTAATCAAATTTAAATCCTCGGGGCTGGAGAGATGGCTCAGTGGTCTAAAGCACCTACTTGGAACAAGGTTGGCAAAGCACAGGGACCGCGGTTCAATCCCCCAGCACCACATGCCAGCCAGCTGCGCCCCCTGGTGGGCTGAGCTGCCCCCCCCACAATAAATAAATGTTAAAAAAAAAAATTTAAAAAAAAAATTTAAATCCTCTATATTTTGCTCTTTTTTTATTCAAATGATACTCAGATTGCGTGTTATAGTGGCCTTATTTTTATTGTGAACACTTGGGTGATAAGCGTAAGTAGCTGTAGTCTGAAATGGGCCTGATTATTTTTTGCATGGTGTGACTTGTGTTGAGTTGTATATGTGCTTGGCTTTATGTACTAGGCTGTTAGTAACAGGCTGGTGTTGCAGAGGGAGCCAAACACCTTGCCAGGCCCGCCACAGCCACCTCCACCCACTCCAAAATGGCCTGCAATGATCTCCAGTGAGCAGCTGAGCTTGGAGCTGCACCAAGTAGAAAGAGAAATTGGGAAGAGAACCCGGGAGCTAAGTATGGTAAGTGTGGTAGTGGGAAAAGGGAAGGTAAATGAAAGCTAGGGTTATGTTGGTGGTCTAGAATTCTTGAATCATATGGGGCTTATTCTAGGCTTTCTGATGGGCAATTAAAATTTAAAATAGTTTTGGCCAGGTATAGTGAGTTCAAGACCACCCTGCACTACATAATAAGACCCTGTCTCAAAAAATACTCATAAAAATGAGCTCCCTCCCTTTTGTGTCATTCTTTTCATTCCTGTTTGGTTTGAATGTGTTTCTCTCATAGAATTCTTAATTAGCTTTTAAGTAAAATGAGGTAGTTAATTGAAAATTTTAATTTTTCTTCTGATTAAGGAAGCAAGTAGGTAACATTTTTGCAATATTATCGTATTTAAAATATGTTTAACAAATAACATTCTAGTTTTCTTAGCCTTGAAATTATTGATGACATATGTGAATTTCATACACTGCACATTTTTCTTCTGTATTAGTTTGAGGCCTTCCCTCTCTGTTGTCCAGTTTAGATAGGTTTTACTCTGTTGTTATTTGGTGTGTATCTCTCTTCTGCCTGTTTCTTCTTTTGTTGTAAAACTCAATATGATTTTTGGATCAAGATGCCTGTATTATTTTATTATTTGGTTGGCACATTAGTGTTGCTAACTAGAAGATAACTTTTATTTCCTTTATTTCCTTCTCTTTTCCAAGGAGAACCAGTGTTCTCTGGACATGAAAAGCAAATTGAATACAAGTAAGCAACCAGAAAATGGACAACCAGAGCCACAAAACAAGGTTCCAGCTGAGGACCTTACTTTGACATTCAGGTAAATAATGAACAAAATACAATAGGAAGAGGTATATATGCTTCTCAGAGGGGAAGGGGATTAAGAGATGGAGATGAGGAGGGAAGAGCTAAGAGATGAAACAAAGAAATGGGGAGGTATTATGTACACAGAAGAAATGTAAGCACAATGCACTACACATGTACTAATAAAGTAAAAAACATATATATGTATATCTTGCTTTTATGGTGGTTTATGTCTATATTTGCAAGCTGTCTGGGAGGCTGAGGCAAGAGGAATGCAAGTTGGAGGCCAGCCTGGGAGGCCATGCCAACTTGCCATGACCCTGTCCTGTCTCAAAGTAAAAATTAAGAACTGGTGTATGAGCCTCTTGAGTTTGATCTGAGTGTGCACACCTTCCTCCAAAAACAAACATCATCTCAAAATAGTTCTGGGTTTGAATTATCTGTTAATTTCTAAGAAAATTTTCTTGTTATATTTTCTCTTTTTGTTTTTAAATTTCTTTTTTTTTTTTTTTTTTTTTTTTGGCGGAACCGGAGATGGAACTCAGGGCTTTGCACTTGCCAGGCAAGCGCTTACTCTACTGAGCCATCTTCCCGGCCCTTTGTTTTAAAATTTATTTTATATGTAGCCTTATATTTTTAAACTATAAAAGTAGCCAGGCATGGTAGTACATGCTTGTAATCCCAGCACTGAGGAGGCTGAGGCAGTAGGATTGCCACAAATTAGAGGCCATCTTGGACTACATAGTGAGTTCAAGGCCAGCCTAAACTACATAGCAAGACCCAGTCTAAAAAAAAAATTACAAAAGTAATATATGCTCAACGTAAAAATAGTACTAAAATTTAAAAGAAGAAAACTAGAGGACAACTCTGCTAGCAACTTTAGTTTTTGTGTTGAGATTGAGCCCACGATCCTCATACACACTTGCTGCACTACTGAGCTAAGTCCTCACTCAGTACCTCCTCTTACTTGAAATATTTTATAGGCAGTATGTTGGAGAAGATTGTAAATTTTAGAAGTTGACAAATTTTAAAATCCCCTGTAATTCCAGAACTCAAAGAATAATCGTTATTAATATCTTTCCTGTTTTTTAAAGTGTAGGACATTTGGCTAAAAAATTCCAACTCTTGGGGCTGGTGAGATGGCTCAGTGGTCTAAAGCACCTACTTAGAACAAGCTAAACTAAGCAAAACACAGGGACCATGGTTCAATCCCCCAGCACCACATGCCAGCCAGCCCCGCCCCCTGGTGGGCTGAGCTGGCCACACACACACAAAATAAATAAATAAATATTTTTTTAAAAAAAAAATTCCAACTCTTTTTTTTTTTTTTTTTTTTTTCATTGTTAACAGTGATGTGCCGAATGGATCAGCCTTGATACAAGAGGATATCAACCTCCTGTCAAACAAGACCAGCTCTTTGAACCTATCAGAGGAACCCGAGGGAGGAGCGGATAACAGTGACTCCCAGAGATCAGGAGTCACCCCTAGTTCTGCTCCCTAATATATGAGTTCTGCTTTGATCTTCTGCTCCTAATGAATTTATGGGGCACAGGTGAAAGAACAGATGACTTCTAAACTTTTTCACTAAAAGCAGTCAGAGAAATCCAGGAAAAGCATCGAAGGCAATGTGCACCAACACCACTACTAAAAACAAACCCTGCACATAGTTCACATTAATGCATTTTTTAATTTAAAGAAAAAGAAAATTAGCAGTATCTGCAAGCAATTCAGATTAAATTTGTTTTTGTTCTGTGAATGAACTTTATTTTAATAACTTTGGACGCCTTGGATCCAGGGCTTTAAAAAAAGAAGATATTATATATATACTCTGTTTGATTAATTGTATGATCTTAATGAAGTAGGTTTTTCTTGTACTTTGGTATTATTACATACCCAGTGTATAATTCCTTACCTCCAGTCCTTCCCAACTCTCGACACCACATAAACTAAAGCAGAAAAACAAAGCAGTGGCATTTCTGAGACTTCTGTGGTGTTTAGAGACAGTGATAGACCTTATTAGAAAATGTGCAGCAAACTAAATTTTCTCAGAGCTTCTGTGGAATCCTTTCCTTTCTGTACCACTAGCTTTAGGAGTAGATTATGTTTTCCTTAAGACATTGAAACTTTGAGTTCCTCATTTGCATGTTAAGGATCCTCTGCATTTTCTTAATGTAATCAAAAAGTTGATCCATTGTTTACATTGTTTGATTCGATTTATAGGAAGATTACTTTAGGAATGAACTGGAACTTGCTAGCATTGAATATCTGCAGCAAATGTATTACCTGTTGAACTCATGATTATAATTGGAAATTTGGAGTTGTGCTTTCTGACTTGCTGAAACCATAAGATAACCTTCCATATTTTAAAAACTAACACTTGATTAGAACTTAATAGATGGGAATTTATTATTTCTGTGGATGTTTTTTGTTTTTACTTTCAAAACCTAAAAGCACAAAGTAAAATTCTATATACTGCAGCTGTGGCTTTCAAAGAGATTTTACAAACTCAATCTTAATAGTTTATCAGAATTACTGGCATGAGTAGGTAGTAAATACTTTGTAGTCAGCTTTCAGAGTTGACTTTCTTAGTATGAAGAAAAGTGCTTCATAGCTGGGTATAGTTGTACCCACTTGTGAACTCAGCACTGTGGGCAGCTGAGGCAAGATTGTAAGTGGGAGCCCAGCCAGAGTAACTTAGTGAGACCTTGTTTCAGAATAAAAACTAACAGGAGGCTGGAAGATGTATTTCAGTACAGAAGTCCTACATTCAACCCCGAGTATCTAAAAAGGAAAATATTCGTGAGAATGTTGGAAAGAATAAGTTTTTTTATTATTATTATTACTTAGTTATGCTGCACATATTCTGATGCCACAAGTCTATACGTAGCCCCTAGAAAACATTTACTGGGGATCTTTTTTTATGGTCTCCCCCACTCTCTCCATCCCTGTATTTGCCTTATATTTTCAGTTCCCTTTCTGGATTATACTATTAAATCAGAAAGCACTGGTTATGTAATAAGTTACTGAATTGCTTTGGTTGGGTAAAGCAAAAGTTTATATTTTTCTTGTTTCTTATATTCCTAACCCTTAACTCCTGCTGAGGTCGTAACAACCTCAGTCTAAGCTCTGTGTCCATCATATTAACTGAAATAAATGGGGGGTGGGGGTGGGAAGGGTAATACAGTCCTGCCATTGCCTACCAGTAGGAGAGTCCAAACAGAACACTCTTTTGAGTAGCAATTATTTAATTTGCCCAGTCAAGGCACCGTGTTTATATACTATTTCACATTGAATTTGATTATGCCCTACAGACCTGGCTGGTCAAGGATTTGATATACACATATTGGCTTGGGATTCGAGCTTTCTTTTTTATTTAAAAAAAAATTTATATATATATATATATTATATATACATATATACATAGCTATATCTGTATATATATTGGGTATGTTTTACGGATTTCTTCGCATGAGCGCAGCTGTAGCGACAAAATGATTGATTGGGAGGTAGAAGCACTGAATGAAGGTGAGGCGTTTTTTCAGTTGAAACATGTTTTTCTTTCTTTTTCACATTCACACATTCACTTTTTTGGCTTTTTTTAACTTAAACCCTCTTAATTTATACTTTAAATACTTTACTGGGAGAAGGAAAAAACTGTCTGACAGATTCTTAAGTTTTCATTTCTATGTAGCTATAGAAGACAAAATTACTGTCTTGTTACCTTCAGTAGGCGGATTTGGGCAGATCTTATTTCCCTTTGGATATATCAGATAATTTCTAAGTTTTATAAGCAGTTGGTTTACTTTGAAAGTTAGAGTGATTGATTCTAGCATTGGGAAATGATTCGTGTGTTTGGGGTTAAGAATCAGAAAAAAGGCCAGGAAGATAGCCCAGCAGCACAGGGCTTGCCTGGCAAGCACAAGGTCCTGAGTTTGATTCCTGATACCAAAATATATACCGATAAAGAACCAGAAAAAAGTGAGATTATATTTTGTATTTATTGATTGAGACTCCTAATAACTGAAATTCTATTATTTTTTATTCTTGTTCCTACAAATCTGCCGGCATCTTTTTGAAGTATTTTCATTTGGGGGCAAAATAATTTTAAGTTTTAGTTTAAACTTTAGCTGTATTCCTCAAAGACCTTGTACTGTAATTGCAGTCTGACTGGATAGAAAGGATGATGTGTACTCTTCCACTGTGCCTATTTCAGCTATTTTAGGTTGGTTATTCTGCCTAATGCCTAATGAAAATTCTTACAGCTTTACTAGAACCCACCAACAGGTATATGAATTCAATAAATCTCCCAAACTTTGGGATTGGCCTGGTTGGTTTTGAGATTTTACTTTTACTTTTTTCTGATATACTGTGTGCTATGAGGAGCCAGTAAGGGTAAATGGCCTATTGAGGCATAACTACTTGACTCTTTACCTGCTTTTCAAATCCAAATTTACAAAGCATTGATTTTTCTTCTGGCTTCTAAATTTTATTAGTACCTTTAGAAACATTATAAAACCAATTAGATAATACAATTTTTATGTTTTCTTACTTAAATAGTATCTTCTTAATAAGACTTTGCTTTTTCCTGAATTCAAAAGCAAGACTTGGACATCTTAGATGAACATGAATATTTCTGAAAGAATTAAGGTAGGCATAATGAGCATCGCGGTCATTCTTAGGTAGCAGAGCCAGGGGTTTGTCATAGTGAGGAAGCATTCTGGCCTTCGCTGTTTTGAAAAGTTCTCTAGACAAGGGTAAAAGAACTGAGTTAATAAGGCATCCAGACTGCTTCCTGTCTTACATGTGGTTCTCTTGAATAGTTTATGGATATTGTTGTAAGACAAATATAGTAACTGCCCTGTGTTGGATAATATAAAAAGCCTGAAATGACCAAAGATTATTATTACTTCCTAATTAGTTATAACATAGATTTGTAGTAATATTACTGATATGATAATAACAATTCTTAATGTCAACTACAAATATTCAGCTACTCAAAATATATAAAAATTTATTTGGTACATTAATGTGGGGTGATTTCTTTCTCCCATCTTACTTCCCTTCTCTTTTCCTCTTCTTTCCCATGTATTTGTTCTTTGGCCTAACCTCAGAAAATGGGTAATATTTTCCTTTGGTACTTTGAGTATAAAATTCCATCAGACTTCCCATGAGTCTTCAGTTTGGAGTTCAAAATTTAATTTCTTAGTTTTCCCATAAATAACTTTTTTTGTCCTGATCCTTTTCCATTGCACAATTTCCCCTTGACTTACCCACTGCCCTTCCCAATCTGTAACAGTGACAGTTTGCTGCCTCAAAACAGAGCATTCAAATGAATTCGCTTAGCCAATAACTTCTGTGAAGTTGCCTTTTCTAATGGTGTTATTACTCAGTGATGCACAAATGTGGTATTTGCCCTACTGGTAGGCAAAAAAGGTCTGGTTAAGAATGGTAACCCAATGTTTTCTTTAAAGGAGAGCCAAAGACTTGTGCTTTACTCTGTTTTGGTTTGGGGGAAGTAGTAGCCATTATAATTGTGAAACCTTTATCATCTGTGAGTTCATTGTATTGTTTAGATTTATCTAAAGTTAACTGTTATATAGTTGGCCTTATAAAATGAAAAAGTGCTGAAAGTTCATTTGTTTTTCTAAACTAATGTCATCTTTTACAATATTGTAATTCCCCCACTTCCACTTTTTTTTTTAGATTATATTGTTATGCTAGTGTCTTCTGTGTTACGCTTTTTTCACGTTCCTAAAGGATGATATACTGTGAGTATGGTTAGGTGACAAAACTGGTAATCTTGAGCATGTAGCCAGGGAGCAGTAAACTATAGTCAGTTTATATAGAGAGTTGCAGAAACTAGCTTCTTTTCACTAAAGAAGATTTAGTTACTGTTACTTATATACACAATGGCAATGGGTAGGAATCTCATTATTTTCCACTTTCTTTTTGCTTGTTTTAAATGATTGAGTAAAAGTTTGACAAATAAAATCTATCTGTGGGGTTGGGGATTTAGCTTACTGGCACAGCACCTGCCTGGCAAGCAAGAGGTCCTGAGTTCAATTTCCCGTACCCCTACAAAAAACATCTGTAAAAATCACCTGTAATGCTTATATGTTATGAAAAGAAACAGTTCAATTACTTTGTAGAAATTAACTGCAGTGTTTATTTACATTTTTCACTCTAAAGAGTTCCAACTATGTTGAATTTTTAATTGGTAATACATGGTTATTACAGTGTTGCAAACCGAGCTCTTTCTCAGAAAATAAAGGAGCTGCTAAACTAAAAGCAAATTTTACTCTCAGTCTTATGCATTGAATAGGTATTATAAAAGTATTGCGATTAATATATGTTTTAATTTCTTAGTTGAGCTTTTCCTTGCTTTTTGAGACAGCATGTCTCTGTGTAGTTCAGGCTGGTCTTGAACTCATTTTGTAGCCCAGGTTGGCTTTGAACTCAAACTCATCTTCTTGCACTCAGTCTCCTGAGTGATGAGATTACTGGTGTGCATCATCACGCCTAGCCTCAGTTCAGCTTTTCTGAGCCATTTCAAAAAGAAAGTTATTTTTGTCAAAGGGCACTTACTATTATAATGAATAACATGATTGGAATTTTAAGGTTTTATTTCTGGCTGCTACAGGTATTTTCATTAATAATAAAATTCTATTTGATAAGTAATACTAGCCGTGATGTTAATAAGAAATAAGGAATTGCTAACACCAGGAATAAGTAAGATGTGTGAATAATA